TGACGTCTAAATAGAGATTTTAATTACAACAATACTACCGGTCATTTTTTACGTTGGATATTCGGTGGTCAGACGTCTAAAGGGTGACGATAAAGGCATTTTCTACACTAGTGTACAAGCATAAAACTATACATTTTTATATAGATAGATAACATCATCATGTTAATGTTGACTTATCCATAATGCCCATACTTTCAACATGGCTAATAAAAGTTCTGGGTGGCATAAAACTACACTTCTTCTTTGACTGACAAGGACTTCAAATCCATGTGTTTAACACCCATTGAGTACTTGTTATTTTTTAAAGAAGAAGACAACTGCAGAATTATCACAATAAATCCTTATCAACCTAAAAATACTGTCAATAATACCAAGCCTCGATACAAAGTTTCGCGACCATAATGCACGAACAATGACCTCAAAGCATGTCACAAATTCAACCTCCATGGTGGAAGTAGAAATGATTGATTATTGTGCACTTTTCCAAGAAATTGCTCCTATAGCCAATAGATAAACATACCCCCAAATGTGGCTTTTCTTGAATCCACACATCCAGCATAGTCTGAATCCGAGTAGTCAATCACTTTAAGATGATATGACCTTTTGTAAGTTAGCATGTAGTCTTTGGCACTTTGTTGGTACCTAAAAGCTTTCTTTGCATTTTTCCTGTGATCCATTCCAGGATTACTTTGATATCGACCTAACATTCCAACAACAAAACTAATATCTGGCAGAGTACAAATTTGAGCATACATTAAACTCCTAACAATTGAGGCATAAGGAATGGACTCCATGACCTTTCGTTCTAAATTATTCTTGGGACATTGCATTTGTTGATAGGGGGAGCATTAGACCCCAAACATATTGGTTTTTTTATAATGAGTGGTTGATAACAATTATAAAATCTTCTAATCATTCTTGCACAAAATGTTTGTGTTAGATGTATAGATCGTGTGTAGATGAATGAAATAGGCTTAAACAAGTCAAGATTATATAGTTCTGGTAGTATTAATTGATTATATAAGTAATCTAACCTGTTAAAAGAAGCCAGAACTCATAGAAAGCAAAAACAGGGAAAAACTAATCGATTACATAAGTAGCATATTCGACTAAAATAGAAAGTTAGGCATAATCTATGATGCAAATAGTTTAATTTGTTAGATAATGTGAAAAGAAAAAAAACAAGGCATAATGTCATTTTAATCGATTACATAAGTAACATAATCGATTAAAACAAAAACTTAGATCTAATCCATTATGCTAACAACTTAATTTGTTAGGTTATAGTTAAAAGAAGCAGTATAAGGCATAACTGTTATTTTAATGGATTATATAAGTGATCTAATAAACTAAAACAGAAACAAAAGCATAATCGATTATGATATTAATCTAATCGGTTAAATTACGACAAAATCTGATTTTCTATATAAATGAGATTGGAGACCTAACACATTAATGTTTTTAATTGAAAATATATTGATATTTTCTCTCAGTTTGAGTACAGGTACATTCAAGAAGAGTTCTTGGAGATTTAAAGCTACATTGGTGAAGAAGCAAACAAGAAATCCATCAAGACTCAAAGAAGCTTACTTGTTTTGATATATATGCACTATTTGTGTGTAATCTCTTCAGGTTCTTATACTTTGTGTTTGATTTGTTACATGTGTTGGGTAGGCCAGGTTGGAGAGAGTAAGTGTATCCTCTCTTGTATTGGTTGTATTAGATTTGAGTGTCGTGAGGATATCAATTAAGTGTATCATTGTATTCTTGAACTCAAATCTTGATTAGTGGATTACCCCCAACTAAGGTTGTTAAGGCAATATTGAATGTAGGTTTCTTGTAAGAGCTGAACCAATATAAATCTTTGTGTGTTTTAGTCTTTCTTTTACATTTCTTTACTTGATTGATTCAAACATCTTTGACTACTGATTTCAAGATTAAAGATTTAAAAAACTTTTGAAATCCAATTCAGCTCCCTCTTGGCTTGATATGTAAGGGCTACTTTTCTAACAACATTTGACTAAATGTTAAACTTTTGGCAAGCGTACCAATAGTCAACTGTAGTATAATGATTTTTTAAGTAAGAGTGTCGAACCCACGAGGAACANGAACTTACACTTCCTTTGAATCTTCACAAAGGATGACCACCTCCTTCGAATGCTTCACGAAGGATGATTCTCTTCCACGCACTTCCTCGGACACACCAAGGATGAACAAGCTATTCCTCTGTCACCGCAGTAGCACTTCAGGACTTTGCAGACAAGAGTTTCCTTAGCTTCAACAATCTCACAGAGTTCTCAAAGAGTTCAGAGATCTTTTGCACAAGGGAAGAGTTATTTTTGAGATAAAGAGTGAGCCATTTTATAGACTCAGCCTAATACCCTTCCATTCTTCGAAAACGGGCCTCTAACGCATTTAATCGATTAACATAAATATTAATCGATTAATAATGAGTACAACGGCTAGTTTTTCAAATCTGAAACCCCCAACGGCTAGTTTTTCAAATCTGAAACCCCCAACGGCTAGTGTTAATTGATTATTCTCAGGAATAATCGATTAACTAAATAAATCAAATATAAATTACAAGAATCAACCCTAATACATATTTGAGCACTATTACATCAACTTTGATTATTATAAAAGCTTTATAAAATACAGAGATCTTCAATTTGTCTTTATGAATCTTGACTTGTGCAAATTTGTTCATCATCAAAACTTTATCTTTGATTTTTGCTAACAATTCATTCGTCTATTTTTGGCGTCCAATTGCAGGGGTCAACGTTTAAATGACTTTAGAAGTTGAGCCCCCCTCATAGCCAACATCTAAAGCCAATTAAAATATTAACATTTTTATTCATTCGTCTATTTTTGGCGTCCAATTGCAGAGGCTGACGTTTAAATGACTTTAGAAGTTGGGCCCCCTCCTAGCTGACGTCTAAATAGAGATTTTAATTACAACAATACTACCGGTCATTTTTTACGTTGGATATTCGGTGGTCAGACGTCTAAAGGGTGACGATAAAGGCATTTTCTACACTAGTGTACAAGCATAAAACTATACATTTTCATATAGATAGATAACATCATCATGTTAATGTTGACTTATCCATAATGCCCATACTTTCAACATGGCTAATAAAAGTTCTGGGTGGCATAAAACTACACTTCTTCTTTGACCGACAAGGACTTCAAATCCATGTGTTTAACACCCATTGAGTACTTGTTATTTTTTAAAGAAGAAGACAACTGCAGAATTATCACAATAAATCCTTATCAACCTAAAAATACTGTCAATAATACCAAGCCTCGATACAAAGTTTCGCGACCATAATGCACGAACAATGACCTCAAAGCATGTCACAAATTCAACCTCCATGGTGGAAGTAGAAATGATTGATTATTGTGCACTTTTCCAAGAAATTGCTCCTATAGCCAATAGATAAACATACCCCCAAATGTGGCTTTTCTTGAATCCACACATCCAGCATAGTCTGAATCCGAGTAGTCAATCACTTTAAGATGATATGACCTTTTGTAAGTTAGCATGTAGTCTTTGGCACTTTGTGGGTACCTAAAAGCTTTCTTTGCATTTTTCCAGTGATCCATTCCAGGATTACTTTGATATCGACCTAACATTCCAACAACAAAACTAATATCTGGCAGAGTACAAATTTGAGCATACATTAAACTCCTAACAATTGAGGCATAAGGAATGGACTCCATGACCTTTCGTTCTAAATTATTCTTGGGACATTGCATTTGTTGATAGGGGGAGCATTAGACCCCAAACATATTGGTATTTTTATAATGAGTGGTTGATAACAATTACAAAATCTTCTAATCATTCTTGCACAAAATGTTTGTGTTAGATGTATAGATCGTGTGTAGATGAATGAAATAGGCTTAAACAAGTCAAGATTATATAGTTCTGGTAGTATTAATTGATTATATAAGTAATCTAACCTGTTAAAAGAAGCCAGAACTCATAGAAAGCAAAAACAGGGAAAAACTAATCGATTACATAAGTAGCATATTCGACTAAAATAGAAAGTTAGGCATAATCTATGATGCAAATAGTTTAATTTGTTAGATAATGTGAAAAGAAAAAAAACAAGGCATAATGTCATTTTAATCGATTACATAAGTAACATAATCGATTAAAACAAAAACTTAGATCTAATCCATTATGCTAACAACTTAATTTGTTAGGTTATAGTTAAAAGAAGCAGTATAAGGCATAACTGTTATTTTAATGGATTATATAAGTGATCTAATAAACTAAAACAGAAACAAAAGCATAATCGATTATGATATTAATCTAATCGGTTAAACTACGACAAAATCTGATTTTCTATATAAATGAGATTGGAGACCTAACACATTAATGTTTTTAATTGAAAATATATTGATATTTTCTCTCAGTTTGAGTACAGGTACATTCAAGAAGAGTTCTTGGAGATTTAAAGCTACATTGGTGAAGAAGCAAACAAGAAATCCATCAAGACTCAAAGAAGCTTACTTGTTTTGATATATATGCACTATTTGTGTGTAATCTCTTCAGGTTCTTATACTTTGTGTTTGATTTGTTACATGTGTTGGGTAGGCCAGGTTGGAGAGAGTAAGTGTATCCTCTCTTGTATTGGTTGTATTAGATTTGAGTGTCGTGAGGATATCAATTAAGTGTATCATTGTATTCTTGAACTCAAATCTTGATTAGTGGATTACCCCCAACTAAGGTTGTTAAGGCAATATTGAATGTAGGTTTCTTGTAAGAGCTGAACCAATATAAATCTTTGTGTGTTTTAGTCTTTCTTTTACATTTCTTTACTTGATTGATTCAAACATCTTTGACTACTGATTTCAAGATTAAAGATTTAAAAAACTTTTGAAATCCAATTCAGCTCCCTCTTGGCTTGATATGTAAGGGCTACTTTTCTAACAACATTTGACTAAATGTTAAACTTTTGGCAAGCGTACCAATAGTCAACTGTAGTATAATGATTTTTTAAGTAAGAGTGTCGAACCCACGAGGAACAGTTTCGATTAAATAGATAAATTGTTATCTCAAACAGTATATATACAAGGATGTTCAATTTGATTCATGATGGATGCTGATAAATAAAACTACGTTGCGTGAAAGTAAAATAATAACAACAAATAACTTAACGAAGTTTAATATGAGAAGTTGGGATTGAATTCATCTATCTCACTCGTCTGCAATCTGGATGAATACAAACATATAGCAACTGAAATTACCAATATTGATGCAACACACAAAAGTCACTTATATCGATTCCTCGCATATAAAATTCATAAGATCAGTTCCTTGAATATTGATTCCTCACATATCCAACAAACTGTCCAACATTATATTCAAGTGTTATAAGCAATTGATAAACTGAAATCTATCCCTAGCATCATAGAATATCAAGTATTCTTGCTCAAATCAGGGTTTTAGAAATACTTTCCAATCAAGTCTAAAATCCACATTCATGAAACTATTGATCAGGTAGAGTCAAGCATTAAGAGCAGAACAAAAATACCAATATTGAATAAAAACAGAAATGCTATATATAAATATCACCAGATTACATCCGAGTTCGAATCGATTACATTCAATCCCAAGAGAAGAGATCATCCACTCATAGTAGCCATTAGCATTCTAAGAGGAAGAAGAAGATCCTACAACTAAAGTGGAAGAAAAACTCTTTGGGTACTCCTTTCTCCGTAGCTCTCCGTCCTTCTTCTTTCTTTCTGCTTCGTAAGTATATAAACTGCCCGAATTCTCGCTTAAGCTAAATTATTCTCGCTTAAGCGAGAAGAAACTTCTTGGAGAAGATAATCATTCTCGCTTAAGCTAAAATATTCTCGCTTAAGCGAGAATGACTTTTAAGGTAATGGCTTCCTGGACAATTCTAGCTTAAGCGAAATCATTCTAGCTTGGGCGAAATGTTGCAGAATTTGCTCTTCTCTCTTAGTTTACCTAAAATGTATACAAACTAGGAATCAAATGATTTCCTTTTACTCAATAACTCAGAAACATATGATTACATTTCATCTTTCTTAGATTGGGGAAAATTGATACAAATGTACTCAATTCAAAACATAAGTGCTCAAATTCCATATGAAAATTAACTACTTTTTTGCACTTATCACTAAACTTATCCTCTTTACGAATTGGAACTACTCTAGGAGAGCATTTTTTTTCATTATGAATCTCTCTAACACTTTGTTAATATAGCCTTTATGAGACAAGCTTAACAATCATTGTAATCTATCACAAAATATTTCTATTCCTATCACATAAGATGCCTTATTCGTATATTTCATTTTAAAGTTGCTAGAGAGAAACTTCTTTTCATCATGTAACATACTAATATTATTAGTAGCAAGAAGAATATCGTCAACATATAGAACTAAAATAACAAACCTACTCACATTAATCTTTATGTATATAACCAGTCAACGATGTTTTCTATAAAATCATATGAAGTTATGCTATCATTAAATTTTAAATACCATTGTAGAGAAGCTTGTTTTAGTCCATATATTGATTTCTTTAATTTACTCACCAATTTTTTTTCCTGTTATTGGGAAACCTTCTTGTTGATCCATATAAACTTCCTTTTCTAAGTAACATTCAGAAAAATTGTTTTTACATGCATTTGGTGACACTCTAAATCATAATGAGCTACCAAATCCAAAACAATTATTAAAGAGTCTTTCTTAGAAATAGGAGAGAAGGTCTCTTTGTAGTTGATTCCATCCTTTTGAATGAAACCTTTGGCGACTAATCTAGCTTTATACCTTTCAAGATTGCATTTTGAGTCACGTTTGGTCTGAAAGACCCATTTACAGCCAACTTTTTTTAACCCTTAGGCAATTCAACTAGATCTCATACTTTATTGTCATCCATTTATTTCAATTCTTCTTTCATAACATTCAACTAATTCTTTGAATTGCTACTTTCCATGACTTGTCTAAAATAGACTGGATCCTCATTAATGCTTAAGTCACATTCATGTTCAATAGAGTAAATTACATAGTTATTCGAAATAGCAAGTATGTAAGTAAATTTATATAATTTTAATTGAATGAAAACATACAAGATCTTAAATTTCATGATTAACACAATATTCTCATATACATATTTATGAAGGAAAAGAAAATATCTAGATCCATTGCAAAGTTCTCTTAATCAATGTTTTTCCTTCTCTTACTTCTTACATATGACTTTTTGATGATATAAAAATTAGCGGTTAGGAAGTCTCCTTCTGTCAAGGTCATTGTTTCTTTATCTATTCAAGAACATAACTTTTCCTCCATCTTTTCAGGAATGTAACCCTTTCACAAAAGTAAAAACTATCTCTATTTTATGATATTTTATAAACTTTAAAAAAAATATCAAATTGTCCTTTTGAAGTGAGAAGAGAGGGATTAATTTTAATAATTCTAAAATAATTCCTATAACTTTAATACATTTATATTCTAATAATCATCACATTAGAATTTTTACATTAAAGTTATTTTTTAAACTATATGAACCAAATATTAAATTAATATAATTTAACATTTCTTTAAATGACAAATATTTTTCCACTAATTTTTAGAAAGATTTTGTCTCATTGTTCTTTTTTTTTTCTTGTCCATTTTGAGTGTTCATTTTGACCTTTTGTTTTTCCCTTATAAATCTATGCATGTATGTTGTTGGTTGAGTTCTTAATTCAAATTCTTAAAAGAAATGATGAATTCTTTAAATCATATATGGACATCATCTGAATGCAACCAATAAAGTTGTGGAAAGTTTTTTCCAATGGTTAGGTAAAAAGAAATATGGAAGTTTGTTTAATTACAAGAGATGTTAAAATGAGTTAATCCAACTCATATGAGTAGTTTATCACTTATTAAGTTAAAATTGAGTCAACTTAACTGATTCACTATTTTTATGGAGCAGAAATTTTGTAACCCACAATATTAGTAGATTAAGTAGATTGACTTATTTAAATATATTTTGTTCTTCCAACTTATTTCATATATTTACTATAGTATAATTAAAGTAAATTGATTTGATTCACCTATTTATAACATTACAATAAAAATGTTAATTTATTTTATTAAACATTAATTACAATTATGAAGTGGTATTATAAATATAGTAAATAAAAATCAAAGTGTTAAACAAACAAAATAAACTAATCCAAATAATTCAAATACCATTAAACAATATTATAGTCTTAAAAAAATAAAAAATCAAAATAACAACCAACAAATTTAAAATAATAAATAATTATAATAAAAAGTAGTTATAAATTATAAATAATTGTTGTTAAAAGATTAAGTCATCTCACATTTATTCTGATTCGGATTGATTTAACTCATAGGTTAAATAAATCGAATTTAATTTGACCCATATTAAAAAAAAAAATCAACCTAACTAAAACTTTTGGTATGAAGTGAATTAACTGATATATTTAAAGTCATTTTAACACTCATTGATAACAAGAATAAAGTTAATTTTGTGTGTCCTAAAGAAGGAATAAATATGATCAGTGGATCCTAATCTTCAACATTGGAAACCAAATCGGTTAATAATGAAACTTTGGATATCTTAACTATATTAGATGTGTTTTGTGATAAAAATGTTACAGAAATCCTCGTTGTGATAAAAATGTTACACAAATCTATTTTGAAAGTGACTTTAAAACTCGAGTTAAACTCTAATA